TGTGGGATTAGGCCCCAACTTCCTTAATAGGACGCCTATACTCACAAATTAAAACCAAGAATCAAAAAAAGAGAGAGACTCAAACTAAAAAGTTTCTTCTCAGCAAAAGAAACAATCTGTGAGGTGAATAGAGAGCCTACATCTTGGGAGCAAATTTTTACACCTCACACATGAGATAGAGCACTAATCTCTAGGGTATATAAAGAACTCAAAAAGCTAAACACCAAAAAAATAAAAAATAAAATAACCCAATCAATAAATAAACATGGACATGAGCAGACATTTCTCAGAAGAGGATAATCAATCAACAAATATGTGAAAAAATGTTCACCATCTCTAGCAATTAGAGAAACGCAAATCAAAACTACTTGAAGATACCATCTCACTCCAGTCAGAATGGCAGCTATTATGAAGACAAACAACAATAGGTGTTGGCGAGGATGTGGGGAGAAAAGCAAACTCTTTTATTGCTGCTGGGACTGCAAACTGGTGCAGCCAATATGGAAAGCAGTATGAAGATTCCTTGGAAATCTGAAAATGGAACCACCATTTTGTTACCGCTGTTGACTGGTTACGAGTCCTTGCTTCCCTGATGTTGAAGAATAACACCAAAGAAGCACGCCAAGGCAAGGTCAGAGTGGAAATTAGAAGTTTATTAAAGGACAGCAGAAAAGACTTCTCCGGGAGGAAGAAGGGGACCCAAGAGGTGGAAGCCGTGGAAGTGCGGTTGTTTCCCCGTTTTATAGTTTTGGTGATGGAATGTATGTTGGAAGGCCTGAGGGGTGGGACACAGGTGGGCTTAATTATCACCTTTTGGGATGGGATTATCGCTTCTCTGGGATGGGCTATCTCCAAATCTGTTGGGGGCTGTTTCCTGGGCTCCATTAACATTTCTTTGGAGTGGACTTTGGCCTAGGGCCTTTCCCTGGACTTCATTAACATTCCATGAGTTGTCCTGCGTTTCCCAGCATCATTCTCAACATGGCCTCCATTTTAGATTTCACTCGGTATTAGACCCGATTTATCTAACTACACTGACTACCTAACTTGAAATCTGGCTTCAATTTGACCCAACTATCCCTCTCCTCGAACTAAAACCAAAGAACTTAAAAACAGCATACTACAGGGACACAGCTACATTAATGTTTATAGTAGCATAATTCACAATAGCTAAACTGTGGATGGAGCCAACCTAAATGCTCTTCAGTGGATAAATGGATAAAAAAAAAAATTGTGGCATATATACACAATGGAATTTTACTCAGCAACAAAAGAGAATAAAATCATGGCATTTGCAGGTAAATGGATGGCTTTGGAGAAGATAATGCTAAGTGAAGTTAGCCAATCCCCAAAAAACAAATGCTGAATATTTTCTCTGATATAAGGAGGCTGACTCATAGTGGAATAGGGAGGGAGAGCATGGGAGGAATAGATGAATTCCAGATAGGGAAGAGGCGTGAGAGGGAAAGGGAAGGGGCAGGGAATTAGCAAGGATGGTGGAATGTGATAGACATCATTATCCAAAGTACATGTATGAAGACTTGAATTAGTGTGAACATACTTTGTAAACAAACAGAGGTAAGAAACATTGTTCTATATGTGTAATAAGAATTGTAATGCATTCCACTGTCATGCATTTAAAAAATAAAACTAATAATTTTTTTTAAAAAAAAGATAAGAAACAAGAATCATCTGTTCCTATCATTGCTGTTTTACATTTAATTAGATATCCTACTAAGGTAATTGAGCAAGAAAAATAAACACCAAGTATCAAAATTGGAAAGAAATGAGTAAAACAATCTTGACTTATGGATGATATAATCTTGTCATCTATAATTCCTAAGAAATCACAAAGATCTACAGAGCTCAAAATAAGTTTAAGACGGTTGAGGGTATAAGATAAACAAAACATAAATCAGATTTATTCCTTGTTATTAGCAACAAATAATCCAAAAATGAAACCAAAGAAAACACACCAATGACTTCTTAATGAAACCTAACTCTGCCTGGCAGCTTGCTGCAGAAGTGTATTAGGCTCATGGGCAGACAGGTCTGAAGTCCTAAGACGTTAGGTCCCTGAAAGTAATCCTCAACCATCAATAAAGAGGAATTGGTAAATAAATAACTCCGTTTCCTTGCCCCTCTGGGCCAATTCAGAGGTATGTTCACACTATTTTCCAGAAGTCTCCATGGGCATTAACCTCTGGCTGCCCATGTGGTAACTTGCTCAGTATCAGATCTTGGAGCTCTGTCTTTTCTCACCCTTCCCAGTCTCCTATCCACTTCCTGTTTTGGACTCCCCAGACCACTTTTCAAATAAATGACTTAGACATCCATCTTTGACAAATAGTCTGTTTCTGAGAGGATCAAACCTAAGTGCTACTCATGGGCTTTTACTTCTTGGTCAACTCTTGACTATTCCTTTGTATCAAGCATGCCGTGCTCATTTAGAGAGACAGAATTGAACTGGGGGTGGGGGGGCACTGAACTGAATTTGAGACTGCTGATTCAAATATTTTATCAAATCTATTTGACTTTGTAAAAATCTGTGTTTAGGTAAGGAGAAAATTTATTCTATCTTCAGGGAGATGGGAACATTGCAATGGGGAGAAGAAACTAGCAATGACGAGAATGCTCCTATCTTGAGATACACAAGTGTCTCAAAAGTCAGGCAGAAGAGAGCTTTTCTTTTATCAGGAAGAGTAAACAAGGTTGAAATGGACAGATTGGGGAACCTTGAACAAGCCAGAAAAGTGAGCTGATACTAGATCAGAGAGTGTTTTGCCCTGGTATCTCTCTCTTCGTCCCTGAAATGGGCCCATCAGAAGGGATAACACAGACCTCTCAGGCTCAAGGTGGGTAAAATTCAGGGACCTGGGGGAAAGAGAGAAGATTAACCCAGGTTTGATTAACAAACACATTATTCCAATTTATCATGGAGACAAGATATTTCCCTAATCATTTATAAGGAAAAGACAGAATCCAGATGGTTTATGTCTGCCTTTGTCATTTGTAATCAATGACAAAGGGGGTCATCTGACCTACCCAGGTCACATGGGGAAGGATGGTTTTTGCATCAAGTGAGTTCTTAAATACAAAGGAATATGAAGGTCTTCTTAATCTTCATGGATTTCCAGGAGCTCAAGTTTTATTCAACAGAAAATCCCCAAATGGCACATGATTAGTAGTCTCTAAATTTTTCTTAGCAAGGAAAAATTTTCTTAAAAGAAAGTTTATAAGAATTTCTATATGCAAAACAGATGCAATTGGAAATTATCTGCTTTTGGAAGAGAGAAAAGTGGGAGAATTGCTACTGTGCAGCCAGCTTCTGGCCCTCAGAACCCTGTATCCCTGTAACAGGCTGGAACTCCCCCACCATATATAGAATGGACCAAGATGGCCCGAAAACTCCCTTTACGTTGCCTGAACTTTGGAAAATTCTTCTTGACTGCAGGCCATAACATTCCTTTTCTTAGAGCATCTACTTGAGAAAATTTGGAATTGCAAAATCTGTCTCTGCCCATTATAAATGTAAATAAATATTTTCCAAGACTCTTGCCAGTTATGCAATCTGGTAATATCCTTCTCAAGGACTTGGGAGTTAACCCTTTGAAATGTAAGCACTGAAGGAGAGAGCTTCTCTATTTTCCAGTCTCTCTGGGAAGATGGGAGTCAAAACGTTAATAAGCATCAATTAGCAAACACCTAATCACTTGGATCAACTAGTGCTCTAATGTCCTCGGGTATATTTCCCATGGTTCATTCACTCTAGCTCTTAAATCCCTTCTCCTTCTGTTTCAGTGTTAACTGCTGTCTATTTCTCCCCCTATTGTCTATGTCTCCCCCTGTTGTCTTCCAGGTTAGCTTAACTCTATCCAGTGCAATTTTCATTTGTTACCAATTATAGGTTAAATTATTTGCATGTTTTCTTGTGGCTCTACATTCTAGAAAACTTGAGACATCAGTGATAAGGTAAGAGTCCTGGATTCAGACAAATCTGCAAATAATGACTATAGGGTACTTTTTTGCTCATGAAAAAAATAAAATGACCCGAGTTGAGTGAAGAGGTGTAAGGTGTCCAGAGATTCACAAAGACATTTTCTTTCTCTCTTACTGCTGAAATTCCTAGAAGTTTGTCAGCTCATTGCTGTTTGCATGGCAATCTCTGTTCCTGATATCTCCCAGTCCCTTTGTGTCTTGCTACACTAAGTGGAAACAGTGAGGTC